ATTACATTTTTTTTTAATTTTTTTAATTTTTTAATCGTTATATTTAAACAAATATACTATCTCTTTAAACTAATTGACAATTTGATTTATCTAATTATTTCTTTTTTGTTGAATTATTTTTTGGTTTTTCTTTTGAGTTTTTTATTAATTAATTCTCTTGCAAAATTTGTGGTTTTAAAAGTAATAAGAATCAATTTTTTTGAGCTAATAATTAATTATAAAAATTTTAGTTTAGATAAAGATATATATATATATATGCTATTTCTTTGCGAAATATTATATTGTAATTTTTTTCTTTTTATTATAGGAATGTTAAATTTTATTAATATTATATATTTTACCTATTTAAACTCAAATACTACATAACTAAAAACTAGTTTAAGTTAATAAATATTTACTAACTTCTTATCCTACACACCATATATATACATGTGCAGTACATATATACAAACATATATAATATAAGTTTAAAATATCAATGTCTCTAAGTAGGAGGTGGTAAGTGATCAGGTCTAAACCCTCCAAAAGAAGGATCAGTAGTCTGGGGTGGTACAGAAGAAGGACAACTAGTCTGGGGTTGTGTAGCATTCATAGAATATTGCTGGTTAATAAGCGCATGTGCTCTTGGAATCTCCTCTCAAAGCTGGCCTCCATCTCTAATACTCTCTGTGACACCTATGTATGAATATGTGTAGCCACCTTTGTCTGAACTCGCTCAACCATTTCTTCTCGAACTTGAGTAAGCTCAGATTGCAACGGCTGGACTTGTGTCGTAAAAATCCTGGTGGTAGAAGAGGAGGCTTCACTCATGTCATACTGTCGCTAAGGGATGCCATGCTTTGTTGGATCCTGTAATGTAGACATCCCTCTCATCTGACCCTTTTTAGGAGGTCCAACCACCTCTTTCCAGATAAGTGGATCCCATTCTGGCCATGAATCCTTGTTTAGCCCATGCTTTTCCACATATTTTTGGTGAGCATCATTTTGTTTCAAAAATAAAATTTTCATTAGTTAGCAATTTCAAATGATAATGGGAAATCAAATGAAAAATAATCATTTCCTGAGTACAATGGATAAAAAATTGTATCACTTTTCTTCTTTTGATCAAAATTGACATTAAAAATAAATAAAATTAATATCATAAAAGAATCAGATTCTTACATATGTCTGCTTAGCATGTGGACATATCCAAGTGGGCGGGGCATCTTCTGGAGCATCAGGTCGGCGAGTCGTGTGAGTCAACAAGTACGACTCTAAAGGTGTCAGCCTAACTCCTCCTCTTTTAGCTGCCTATTAAAACATCAATAAAATCAATAACAATTTCATTTTTATGGTGAAAAAAAATAATTTATATATGTATATATATAAGAATATCCTACTAACCAGTCGATCCGCGTGGATCCCAATAGAAAGGCATCTAGTTGTGTGGGCCATACGGTCACCCTTTGCTCAGTTTTTTTGACCTTTTTCCTGGGGTGCAATATATTTTGGACTCCCCCATTTTGTCAACAAAATTTTAAAGGTATCCTTATGCATGAACTCGGGCAACTTCTTGTACTTGACCCATGCCTTTCGAGCTCAATGAAGCTTGTCTCGAAAACGGTTTCGACAATATAATCTCCAAATTTTATACACATGAGCATCATCTTCTTCCCAATAATATGTCCTTTGCAATGAAAAAAACTTAATTAAATTTTAATAATTTATTTGATTTTTCTTAAAAAAAAAGAGCAAAGTTTTGCTTAAATTATCATACAAGTACTTCCATATTATTGTGGCAGTCCTCCCAAACCTCTCATGGCTGAATGTGCCTCGACAATTAAGGCTAAGCAACTTCCCTTGACTTAGGTCTATAGGAGCATCATCTTCTTTATCCATGCCACTTCTTGTCTTCGGGACAGCACGTGATAGCTCTTCCTCCAATTAAGCATCTAACTCAAGATCAAGCACAACAAACTCAGCATCCAACTCAGCCTCCAAATTATACTCTTTAGTGTCTTCCTCCATTGTTGCATCATCACCAGGGTACTGGTCATCGTCCAATGGTGGTTGAGTAACAGTGGGTTGCTTTTGCTGCAGCTGTGTGGGAAGCTAAGTCAAACTGGAAAGCTGCTGTTGTGCGGGAGGTTGGCTCAAGCTAGGTAGCTGCTACTGTGTAGGAACAGCCCTACAAGGGCCCCGAATAAGATGACGAAGTTGCCTTTGTGGTTCTCCCTCTAGATCAACTTGCTGTTTAGAACAAGACGCACCTCGTGTACCTTGTCTCATATATGTATACAAAAAATAATGGAAATACATCAACTTCCTTTTCATGAAGAAAAGCAAAAATTTTAAAGAATAAAAAAAAGCAGAATATAAAATATTCAATTAATAACTTTTAGACTAGATAAAGATATAACAACAATCAAACTCATTAAATAAGTTCAACAGTGTAATACAATATGAAAAAAAAATCATGCATTTGATTAAAATGAGAATTTAAAAAATGAGAAAAAATGAAAAATATAAATATCAATACACAACTAAATATATATAAATAATTATAAATATATGAAATATATATTTATAAGTAAATAGATATATATCAATATAAATATAATTTCACTATAAATATCAATATAAAGAATTATAAATGTCTATTGATATAAATATAAATATAAAAGTCATTAATGGAAACACAAAATAAAGAAAATATAACTAGTCCTTCATCCCTTATTTAATTAATTAAAAAAATCAAATAAGATACACTTAGTCACTATCACTCTCGATTAAGTAATTTGGAACTTCTTCTTTCGATGTTTATGTTCTATCAAACTCTTCCTCTTCATCATCATCCTCACCCACACATTCTTCCTCTGCCACATATGGCAATTGCATGACCTCACTAATCACTACTTGTTCTCCCCCTTGAGATGCCAGTGAAACATGATCATTTAAAATAGTCAAGGGTTGCACCAATTGTGGCATATGAGGATCATCATCTTGATAATAAACATTTCCACCATCACTCAATGATGAAGTGTCAATTATTGCTCTTGCTCTAATCTTACATGCAGCAAACCACCCTTTTCTACAAGGATTTTGAGATGGGTAACGGGCATAAAACACTTGTTGAGCTTGACTGGCCAATATGAATTGTTCATTTGTTTGTAATTTAAACTGAGGATTTATGTCAACTATACCAGATGTTGGATGGACCACGATGCCTTTGTTGATATCATACCACTCACACTTGAACAAAATCACTGATTGATGAACATATGAGTCAAAATACTGAAACTCAATTATTTCCTTCAAACTCCCATAATAATCTGACTCATCATTGAAAGTGGTTCCCTTCACACAAACACCGCTATTCATGGTCTTTTTATTTTGTTCATATGTGATAGTATGAAACCGGAATCCATTAACCCAATAACCATTGTATACTCTAATGTTACTGACTGGGCTAGTTACTAAAGGTAAAAGGCAAGAATCAACCTCATATCTTCCACTACGCACCTACATTTTTTATAAAAATATTTAATATTTAACTCTAAAATATATAAAAATTGAGATCTTAATAATACAAATTATTAAAATAAATTATTTATCGTTGTCTTAAACCAAGGAATAAATTCAAGTTGCCGTTTGATTGGAATTTGATCGTTTGATAGATCGGAACATACTTAATAATCAAAAAGCCTATATGAAGAAGTTGGAGTAAACAATCTATACATATTAGTAACTTAAACAAATAAAAGTTAGAACTAGAGAACATACGCAATCCATTGATTAACTTCTTCACAACTAAGCAAAACATAAAGTTCTGCTGCCTTTAATTCTTTGGGTGACAGTGCATGCCTACGCATTTCTCCACTTAGTGGTTGACTTCGATGTTTAAAGACAAACAAACAATTATCCATATCATCATTCACGCCGACAATGTTTC